ACCTTTGTGTTGCTATATGAAGGCTAATGGCAGTATCTCAGGTTTGCATACTTATTACTTCCTTTTCCCTTTTCCCTGTCTTTGTGTACATACAATGAATTAAAGGCATTTTCTTTCACAGTAAATCACAGATTTTTGTTATTATTGAACCGCAAAGTATTGGTTGCCCAACTTGCCCTCATCCCTCTAAATCAGTATTCCAAATTGCAGTTTGTTATTTGGAGGGAAGAACATAAACTATAGCATGTGATTCAGAAATAACAAGTCTCCTTACTATGAAAGTGGGAATTATATTACCTGGCTGTAGGTAAGAGGGCAGAGAGAGGGATCATATGATTCTGAGGATTCCCCTGGGCTTGTACAGGTGATCTGAATGATGCCAATAATGATGGGTGGCTGCTGCACTGATATTGTTTCCACATCTTCTAGGTAAATTAGCCAGTTTTATAAAAAAATATTTTTAAAAATCAGGCATACTTTTCCCCCAGAAAGAAGTATCATAGTTGATGTTTTAAAGATTATAATGAAAATGTGTATATTGTGTTCTGCAGCACAGAACAACTATTTGAACCTTGTCATAAGTATTTCAGGTAATATATGGCAAACTAAAAACAATTGAATAGATAATTAAAGTGTGAGAGATCTATACTTTACGTCTACTGTACGACAGCAAGGCTATTATGTATTTCTGACATTAACCATGATTTCGTTAGTGCTATGTTTTTTAAAAGTCCTGCATTTTCATGCTCCAATCCCTGCTTTGCTTGTATAAAAGTAAGTGCTTTCTGCTCTAGCACAAACTACAGCTTGCCATAGCCATCTGCAAGGTGGCAAGCTATTATATTTTTATTTACTTCATTTATACTGCACTTTTCTTCCCAATGGAGACTCAGAATGGCTCACAACATTCTCTCCCTCAGAACTCAGGGTGGGGATGGGTAGACAGAAGTGTGTTTGTTTCACTGTTGTTCTAATTTGGTTTTCTGAGGCAAAATAAGCAGGCCACAGTTGGAGTCAGTTGAGAGAGACAAAACCTGCCCTTCAGTTAAGAAAATGAGGCCAACAGATTCAGGTTTTCCCCCATCTTGTATTTGTTGTTCAGTCGCACAGTCGAGTCCGACTCTTTGCGACCCCATGGATCATCTCCATCTCATCCTTTGCCGTCCCCTTCTTCTTTGACCTTCATTCTTTCCCAGCATCAGGGTCTTCTCCAGTGAGTGCTCCCTTCTCATTGGGTGGCCAAAGTATTTGAGCTTCAGTTTCATTATCTGGCCTTCCAGGGAACAGTCAGGGTTGATTTCTTTGAGGATTGACTGATTTGATCTTCTTGCAGTCCAAGGGACTCTCAAGAGTCTTCTCCAGCATCATAGTTCAAAAGAATCTATTCTTTTATTCTATTCTTGTATACCCCTTGGTTTTTTCCCATACAGTAAATACATAAATAGCCTCTTATTCCTCTGTGGGAAAATGAAACACGGGATTTGGGGAGTCTGTTGTACCAAGGGGTAAAACTAAGTCCCTAAAGGCTAGGGTTCTGTAGCAGTGTTAGAGATATTCGCCTGGATATTTCTGATCCAAAAATATATCTGAAAAATAGCATACCGGTCAGTTGAAATGGTATTAGGGGTTCAAAATACCAGATATCCATTCCTGAGAAATCCCAGGAATATCTGGAGCTGCCATTTTAAAGTTCCCCAGGACTGTTCTCCCATTTCATAGGGTTCTGTGGCAATGGGGGATGGGGGGAGGGGACGGGCAGCATCTGTCTAAGGCCATAGGATCAAATGTTAGAGGGAGCACTTCAACTGTCTGCCCAATCATGACGATTCTCACATTCCTCCATGAGGGCCAACTACATGTTCAGGTTTTTAATGAGTTGGTTCCAGATTCTCTGCAGCCACACAACAGCTGTGGAGAATGGCTTGTTAAAAATAAAGGAGAGTTGCCCTGAGCTGGAGAACCCAGGCAAACTCAATCTCATCAGATCTTGGAGGCTATACAGGACTGAACCTGGCAACTATTTGGATGGGAGACCTCCAGAGGATACCAGGGCCAGGAGACCAGAGGCAGGCTATCAAGCCACTTCTCTGAATATCCTCCGTGCCTCAGTAGGAGTGGCCAGAGGTTTCAATGACTTCCAGGCATGGGTGTGTGTGCATGCACAGTGCAAAAATACAAAAAAAATCATGAAAAATAAAGGAGAGTCCAAACAGGCTTGGAACGCCACTCCAGGGGAAGAAGGGCTCCTGACTTCCCCCTGCAGCTATTTTCCCATGCTGAAACTGAACTGGGGGTGGAGCTATTTCCCTGTGTTTGCTACTCTTCCATGTAGAATATTCTGTGCATGGGCAAAGGAGCATAAAAGCAGCTTGACTCCATCTCAGAAATAGATTGTTTGGGGTGTGCTGCTGCTTGCTGCTACTACTCATGTTTGCTTTGGATTTCTGCTGCCTGCCTGGCAAGATCTTCTTGTTCTCTGTCTATTGGACATCTTTAGGACATGTGGAATTCATTTCAAGTTTTCCCCTGTATGGACTGGGGGAGGGGTGTATTGAGGGGGAAAATCAGCCTGTTCCCCCTTCGTGGTTCTTCTAAAAATAATTTTCTTTGGTTTTGTTTTGGGTTTCTGTGGAGTTTTGAGGTGTTCCTATAGGTTTTAAAACTGTAATTATTGCAGCAGGTTCAGGAGAAAGAATCTGGTTATGTTTTAATAACCATTAATATGTAAGGATGTAGGTGGGTTTTTTTAAAAAAACAAGGTTAGTTTGACTTGGATTCTCTTGTATGATATTGGTTTGGTTGAGCTTGTTTCATTTGCATTGGAGGCTTTTGGTCAATGATTACTTTTATGTGCTTGGCTATTGGCTTCTCTGAATTTTTCTCCATTGGAAACAATGGAGACAAGTAGGAAAGCTTGGGGTATCTGGTTCAGGGGTCCATAGAATTGGAACCCGTGGTTCAGTTTGCCTGAAACGTGGTCAAGCAGCACTAGGTCCCCTGTAATTCTGGTGTCATTTGGGTGAAAAACAGCCACTCCAATCACCCACCCCTGAAAAATGTCCTCCATAAGAAATAATGGAACATAAATAATTCTGGAATCCCAGGGGAAAAAACTGAACCCAAATCCCAAAGCAATATTAGGGGACCTGAATACGATTAAATATCAGTATTTATGCCCTTCCTGAAATCTGAAAAATACACCCCCCTTTTTTACTTGTGCATTCAAAAGACCGGTGCTAAGTGTTTCTATACAAAAGAGCACAGAGGTTTACTGCACTGAGCAAAATTCATTGCAGCATCCATACCCTTTCTCTGTTATCCTAATGTGCTCAGGACTGGGTAGCCTTCCAATGCCAGACGTGGTCTTGGTCCATCTTCAGGGTCCTTAATAATTGTCCTTTAGAAAACTGGTCTCTGCCTCACTTTGCAAGAATGCAGTGACAGCCATTTGTGTACGTGGGTGTTCCAGGTTGCCAGCTCTGGGTTGGGAATTACCTGGAGATTTTTGGGGTGAAACTTGGGAGGGCGGGGTTTGAGGAGGGGAGGGGCCTCAGCCGGGTACAATGCCATAGGGTCCACTCTCCAAAGCAGCCGCTTTCTCCAAAGGAACTAATCTCTGTAATTTGGAGATCAGTTGTAATACTGGGAGATCTCCAGCCCCCATCTGGAGGTTGGCAATCCCAGTCCCAGAAACCGTATGTCACATAAAATGTATAAGAGGCCAGATAAGTACTTGTATTGGTGTTGTGGAGTAAGAGTCACCGCTGCTGACAAGTTTTTTTCAGAGAGGTTAAATGATATGGCCACTGAAAACTTGTGTTAAGTTGGGGAATGGCATATTAGTCATTCTCTTTTATGTAACAGTGAGAAGCATATTCTTTAATTAAAAGTGCTTTCTAAGCCTGCAGGGAAGAGCTATCTTAATTCAGGCTGTATTTTATTTACACATTTTTGGGTTACTGGAAGAGTTTTTTAAAATCCATGTTTAGATCAAAAGACCTGTCTACAACAGTTTCTCTAGTGTTACAGGCCCAAGGTAGGTTAGAAATAGGTAATCATCGTTTTGTTAATGGATAATATCCCAAGGTGTATTAATTCTTAATTTTATCTACCCTGCTCAGTTGTAATCCCTCTCTGTTTGGATAGTCTCTTGGTCTTCTCCACATGCTGCCTCTTGTCATGTAACCCTGGCCTTACTCTTTCTCCACAGCAGACTATTAGTAATACATGTATAAATCTTATTGTGTAATTCATTGGCCATGCTATA